TAATTCCAATAAATCTCAACATGCATTTGGACTGTGGGCTCTGCATTTAACCCATATGTGACATAACAGTGGGTAGCTAATTCAGCAGCCGGGGGACTGGGGGGGGGGTGGGGGGGGGGTACCAGAGAACCCAGAGAACAGCCCATGACGAGATGGGGAGAAGAAGCAAACTCCACACACATGGAGCCCAGGCAGGAGACTCGAACCCTGATCCCAGAGGTGCAAGGCAACAGTGCCAACCACTGCACCACCTATACGATCTTACAATTAAAATTTGTATTTATAACATTTGTGGCCACAAAATGCCTACAAGAGGGATGGAAAGATTTGGTTTTCGGGGGAAGATGGGAGAGTGGAATTATGGGCAATGCAAACTCTCTGTTTACCAACCATTAAAAAAATCCCTCTGAAACTGAATACTGCTGTGTTAGTATCTAACCACATCCCGCGTCCCTAATGTCGATATGCACACAGTGTTTTCCGCGAGCTTTCGAAATGCAGATCCTGCCCCAGGGCCTCTCTGTAAAGCCGCAGAACACCAAGCCAAGCCGTCTGAGGACGGCGTTTATCTCGTGTCTGTACCAGGCAACGCTGAACCCGGCTGCCCCCATCCGTCCACTCAGACTCTCCGTCTGCAGCACAGTCAAGCACTTGTGTTAATGTCAAAGCCCTGAAACAAATACAGTTTGTGGAAACATACAGACAAAGAAATGTTTTCAGAGGAGTGTCAGCGGAGGGACAGAGGCTCTCTCCTGATTGGTCGCTTTACAGCAGCTGGGCACACGCACTGAAGGATGTCAGTGACTAATTTCGATTGAAATTTCCTAGAATAAAAGGAGTCTGTCTTATTTAAACTGAAAAGAAATTAACTGGCTGGGCCTGTTGTGTATTTTTACAGAGTGTGGGTAAACATACACTTAACAAAGGGGGCGCTGTTCCACGCCATCCTCTTCTGCCCTCAGGTCACCCTCAAGGGCAGAGTAATCAGGCCAGCTTCCTCTCCTCTGCTTTCATGGGCAGAGAGTGAGCCGTGAGAGGCCAGGTAGGGAAGCTTCCAGTGAGGAATATCTGTACCTGACAGCTGGCGGGGCACGGCCAACCAAACACGCTTCCCGGGTTTCAATTTCACATAACAGTTATTGCCTTTCTCCAGAGGACCGAAAATACATTTCAGGCTTTAGCTGGACATTAAAGGGAACACGAGGAGCCCAGTATCGATGTTTCTCAGAGATGGGGGAGTCCATCTTTTAAAAGTCACTCCATCTAAGCAATGGAATGATCCACTGCAGGTCTCCTGAGCCTGACGGCTGCCTGATTTTACATCTGTTAAATGTTTAATGTACTGCAGTTGAATGCGTGAGGTACATGTATTACTCAGGCTAAGTACACACACGATGAAGACAAAGGCTGCTGACCACGCCCAGTGGTCAGGCTTCTTCCAGTACGCTGTTTCCCGGTCTGCGTCAACACACACAGGAAGAAGCCTGACCGGCCAAATCGAATGTACATTCGTTTTAGACCTACATTTTCTGACCATTCATTTATCAGATATCAATATATCTTACAGCTGTTTCCAGCATCTGTACCACTTTGCACTTTATTGTCGGAGTACTTGTTCTTCATTTATGCAATGACAAAGTTGAATGCAATGTGAAATCCTCCTATTCTTAAAAGCACTCAAAGCTGTTTTTTTATTAATAAGTGTAGACATTCATATTTGGGGGAAGGTTGAAAATTCCAGCCACACAAAGAAATCCAGACCTGTGTTTAAGGAGCGGAGCATGCAAAAAATGTCAGAAGTCTTGTATTTTGTTTGTTACTTATGGTTAAGTTTAGGGCATTTTTGGGATTAGGATTTTGCCCATAGGAATGAATGGAGAGTCCCTATAAAGATATGAGTATGTGGACTCTGTGTGTGTCTCTGTGTGTGTGTGTGTTTGTGTTTGTGTGTAAACAACACTTTAATAGCTCCTTTTTGCTTCGCATGCAGAATTACCCCGAAATTGGGTGACGGAGAGCGCTTCTGCGTTCCCTGAATTTTAATCATTAAAAAAGCATGAAGGGGCTTGTGGTTCACAGACACCGTGACAATTAATTACTGAGGATCCGAGGTCCCGCAGAGGGGGCCTGATGTGCTTTTTATGTAAACTCAGATCTATTTGGCTTATGTCTGTTTAAATGTAGTTCATCAGGAGAAGAGCTGGTCTTGGGTTACTGCTCTGAGATACATACAGAGATATATAACCCCCCCCCCACACACACACACACACACACACACACGCACACGCACACACAGTCGTGTAAGCATATCTTTATGGGGACTGCTCATTCATTTCTATGGGAAAAATGCTAACGCCAACTATGACAACCTTAAGCCCTACCCAGCCCTAACCATAACCATAAGGAACCAAGGAAAATACAAGAGTTTTTGCATTTTTTCATTGCAGTCACGGATTTTTATGAAATTTAATTTTCCCATATGAGTACCAGGAAACTGGTCCCCATAAGGTTAAAAAAAAATGGGTACTCATCACGTTGTGGGGACATTTGGTCCCCACAAGGTAAGGTATGCCTGGATCACACACACAAGCACGCACGCTCAGTATGGGTATAAGCCATACCAATAAAGGGCTGAAATCATACAAAACCACAGCTACTGAATAGGGTCCCCAGGAAGTCGCACCCTAGCGCTGTCCAGCTTACATGAGTGTCACTAGAAATTCCTAATGAAGCACTCGCAAGGTCTAATGGGAGACCAGCGCTGCCTGTAATCACGCATTAACATCCACACGCATCAGTTACCCACCAACACGCCAAGATCACGGCCAGAACGACACAGATGTGTGCAGACCTGTCGCACGAGGGTGCTGCTTCTGACAACCGGAGCCTATGCAGAGAGAACTTAATAAACAAAGTAATTACCACGGTTTTTAAGTCTCATTATCAACTCAGTCTGCAAGGCAGCATTTTGTTTACAGTCTTAATCACTAAATATTCTGATTAGCATCGGTTCAGTTATCTCTGCCGAAGCACATTTGTTTCCATCTTCCCTCCTAATCAATCCGCACAAAGAGTGTTCTGAATAACTTCGGCTGGAATTATGGCCAAATCACGCAAAGGGCAGGCGAGTCAGGGGGTGAGATTCCCTTAAACGCCTCCCATCCTCCGGAATTCCTATTTCAGGTGTTGCACTTTGGGGAAACAAAACTGTTAAATAAGATCCAAGCTTATTATAAGAATCTGTGGTCTCACTTCATAAACTGATCACAAGCTTTAATGGTTTATTTATCCAACATTTTTCATAAATAAATAGTTCCCACATTAGAGAGTTAATTGGCATTTTAAAGGAGTCTGATAAGCCCTCCGGATTTGCCGGCTACGTAGCGGAGAATTTCCCTCAGTCGTTTACTTTGTTGAGGATATACTGTAAGAGAATGAGGCCTTGGAACCCACAGTGGGAGGGACCTTCCACACATTGGCTGAGAAAGCTTAACTCTCATTGGTCACTTTGCTGGATCCCACTGTGTTTAACGAGTGTGTGATTGAGCGCACACACAATTCTCACCCACCAAGGAGTCCAAAGCCTCAATGCACCAATCGCCAGACTATCATCATTTTAAAATTTAAATGCTTGACGCCTTTAGCAGAGACAATCTCTGAGGAACCCGTTTTCTATCTGAATTTAAATATGTAGAAAACGTACAATAGTCACAACGACATCACATGGGAAACAACCGAGCACAGAGGCCCCATGATTAAATCGCTGTGAGGAAAGTTAAGGGGGGGAAAAAAAGCACAAAACTGCCCAGTTTTATTACATAGCACTTATGATAACCTGCAGCACGGCCAAATGAAAATAGTGATACGCCGAGGCAATTAGAGGAAAAGATGAATCCAAAGTCTGGGATGCACGTAACCATGGTAACTCTTATGGAGGCCTTGCACGCAAAAGTACTTGCAGTTCTGATGGCCCGTTTTACCCACTGACATCACCCAAGGATCACTCAGAAGACAGCGGACATTGAAAGGGGCGG